TTACACCGCATTGTGGTCAGGGTATTATGTTTTTGTGCATTTGTTGCGAGAAGGAAGCGAGATAGACCCATAGTTCCTTTTGATCATCTGCATAGAATCACATTCTGAGTCGATTTATGCATGTTCGTGTATTTTTGTAAACAAAATACAGGTCGCATCAATGCCCGATTGAGATGAAAATTTGCGCAAATCATTTGTCTGGTCGCAGGACGAACCCTATTGAAATTGGAGATAATCGGTCAAAATTTAGATGTAGCTCCCATATATATCTTCGTCCGATTTACATTTCAATGTGCACAAAATGTGTAATATTAGTCCAAATAGGATAAAATTTAGCATGTACAAACAAATTCATTGCTGAAATAAGTATGTTAATTTCTGTGGAAATCGGTTCAGATATAACTATAGCTCTCATATATATTTTTAATCCGATTTGTTATTTGTGTCCTCCACAGCCGTTATATGAACTCAGTAATACTGATATTCGGAGAAATACATCAAATATTGCTCATAAATACTTTTCTCAAATTTTATCGAGATCGGTTCAGATATAAATATAGCCACTCGTCCGACAGCTGTTAAAATTATTCCAGTGACAGCTTATTATATTGTTTACAAGCGTACAAAAGCATTTTGGTGAGAATTTTCTAGAAAAAAAAAAATGTTATTCGTGATAGAATTCAAGCGTGGAATTCAATTCGAACAAATCTAAACTTATTCTACAATTTGATGCTATTTCCGACATATTTTGCTTTAAAAAAAAATGTAAAAATTATGGCGTTTGACTTTGTTGCACTTTTTTATCTCACCCTGTATATTTCATCCGATGTTGTATTTAAGTCTCTCGCACCCCTAAAATGCTCACCACAACAACAATAGTTGGCGCCAGCTATCTGCTAAAGCAAATAAATACCTCTGCTAAATTTTACAGAGATCGGTTCAGGTTTTGGATATAGCTCCATATATATGTACATCCGATTTCACGTTCATTGGGCCTAAATCAACTACCAACAAAAAATTGATTTTGATGAATATCGGTTCAAACAAAAATGCCTCCGGAAACTTAGTAAAAATCGATTTAAATGTACCAAGTCGGCCCCGCTCGACTTAAGCCTTTCTTTACTAGTTTTCACTTTACATACATATGACTCTCAGATGATAAATAAACTACTTCGAATGGATTTAGGTCCAACATAATTCTTGCGTTGCTTACAAAAACATTCACCTCCTTTTTCCAAAAAAAAAAAAAAAAACACAACATTCATATCTCCATTGAAAACACTTACCGATATTCGATATTTTGATGATTTGTGTCACACTTTTCACTGAAATTATTTTACATTTAATATTTGAAAGTCGTAACGGGTAAAACCTCCTATGACAGAAAATTGGCTATACAGTCCTCGTCTTTTTGCGACAATGTTCAACGGATTTATTTCAAAGTTGCTGTTTGGTATTGCCAATACATATTATCTTCCCTGATGGAAAATTATCTAAATAGCACCACTTTTACGTATAGCGTGGACCTAACGATATTCTGCACTTTAACGATTTATGTCACACTTTTCAGTGGACTTATTTCAAATTTGATATTAGAATTTCGTAATGGGTACCTCTTCCTGCGAGTGAAAATTACATCTTAGAATATCTCCCATACAATGGAACCTTCCGATATTCTGTGTTTTGTCGATTTTAGCCACATTTTTCAATGGAATTCACAATCGGAGCCACCTTCTCTGCCAGAAAATTGGCTATACCGGTCTACGTTTTGTATAACCGTCTTATGACTGTACCAGCCGATATCCGAAATTTCAATAATTTCAGAGGCATTTTTTGTATTTGTTTTTTTTTTTTTTTTAATTTCGCAAGAACCTCCTATATGGTGAATGGTATTCATCTGTTTGTTTACTTATTTGTATATACAATGGATTTTGACACTGTGATGTCAATGTCAATGCAGGTATAATTAAAAAACAAATTGTAAACAAAATTTCCTTCCCGTCCCCGTCCATTCTTACTTGTTTTCATTTTTAATTGGTGATTTTTTTTTTAAAGGGGACAGGACATTTAAGCAAACACATGTAATTCAGATAAGTGCATGCAATATTTATTTGAATTGGTAGAACGGTCCATATAATAAATTGTTTGAAGATTATTTCATGCAAATGTTAACCGCGACTGCTCCTCGAATATTACATGCGCTTAGTCCAAATTTGTCCTCCTCCTAACATTTCGGCCGGTATCTCACGGTATTTCAATGTAGTCTTCCAATGCGTCGGTTGAAGCGGGCTCGGCTGCAAAGCTTTACCAAAAGAATAGGTTGAAGGTGTTTAATCTCACGATCGACGAATGACGGTTAACCCCTAGTCAATTGACCGGTCCGGAACGTGAAATAAAATGTTCAACGAATTCACCTCTCCATAGGTCGATTCTTACTCGTGCTGTGTTTCACCGTCTTTTTGAAACCACATTTCATTCATGCCAAGCATTGCATTTTGGAGGAAAAAAAGTTGGATATCATTCCTCGGTTGAGCTCACCATTCAGTTACGTTACGATTCGCAACATATTTGAAGAAGTACGGTCCAATGATGCCACCAACCCATAAACAGCACCAAAGTGTGACTTTTTCTGAATGGACTGTTAACATTTGCCATGTTTCTCCGTGATCTTAACTCCAAAATCGACAATTCTGCATATTTACGTATCCATTGAAAAAAAAAAGTTTCGTCGTTGAACACTGTTTTTCGATTAAAAAACTTGATTTTCGCCCAACTTTCCATGAGGCCACTCTCCAAAACTTTGTGTTGCGGTAGGTCGTTGGGCTTCAATTCTTGCAACAGCTGTATTTTGAAAGGGTCATTAACACTGGTCGATACAGCTGCTACAATTTTTTTCAGTTCGTACTCTTCGTAAGCGTGTTGATGGTTTAGTGTCCAACAATGTAAATTTAGTGGAATGATTTGCAAGCGTTGTTCGTTTATAAGACGACTCATTTTTAAATTATAGACCAAACCGAAGATGTTCGACGGTGAAATAAAACACCGAACATGTGTGAGCTGTTTAAAGCAGTTTTACCAAAAATAGAATAGCTAATATATCACCCTTTATATGCCGAAAACGCGGATTTTGTTCGAACCAAAAACAATCAGAGTAAGCATTTTCTTTAAAGACCAGATGCATTTTTAATGTATATTTAACATGAATTAACTTGGTTTTTTTACATTTGTCATCATTACATACAAAGCCAGAGCGAAATGTTTTACGAATGTGAATTTTGTATATCCTCTTCTGTTTCAATGAATTTAGTATCTCTAAAAATTGTATTTATAATTTCCTGGTTTTTTATACTTAGTTTAAGTCTAATAATTTATTATATTTAACAGTTTTCATATTTTGCTTATCTTGATTTTGGGGGGGGTAGATAGAGTTGGGTTTGTTGTTGTTTCAATAAAACTTATACAAAAAAATTAGCCGTAGAAAAAAGAAGTGCAAAAAATGTGTTATTTAATATTTATTTTTGTTTTTTTTTTCTTTCTAATTTGTTATCATAAATTAGAATTATTTTCTTTAGTTTTCTGCTTAAAAAAGTTTGTTTTGCTCTTCCAAAATTGTGTGTATTTTCGAAAAGTAGGGAAAGGCCATAAAGGGGGAGTAGGAAATGGTATTGGCTTAGTAGCTTGGATTATAAGGGGGAGTTTTAGATCTTCTTATGTTTTTATTGTTCGTTTTGTTTTCCTTTATTCTTTCTGTTTTTTTGGTTTAAAGTACAATATATTTTTTTAAGACATAAATTATTTTTTTGTTAGTTTTGTGTTTGCTTTGCAATCAAATTCGAAATAATTATAAATAATTTAATAATATATGTAGATCTTTTCATTTGGAGAGGCTTGATGGGACATGCTTGTTTTAAATTGCATTAAACAAGTTTGTATTACACAATTAGTGCTGAAGCAACAATTTGTATTCTATTAATTTTAACAAAGCAACTTAAAATTTGAAGACAACAATTTTCAATTGCAAATCTATCCAAAAAATACAAAAATTTAGTCCATCATTTAATGAGTTTATATTGTAATGTAGGTAATGAGCAGATACTGTTTAGCATTCCAGAATTGCGGTTTAGTTTCTCTATAAATGTATTAGGTTTTTGTGATAGTAATTATCATATACACGAGAAATCGGTTTGCTATGTGTCCTTGATTAAATTCTGCAAATTAAAGTTAATTTCATGCATTCTAGTTGTGCAGACTTCTTGGAATCGTTTTAAAGTCTAAAAGAAATTTTAAATCCCACAAAAATGTTTCTCTCATCACTTTGTATCAAAATTGAAATTATTTTTCGGTGATTAACTATTGAAAATTGTTGTAAATAGTGTCTGTGAAAAGTCCCAGCTTTTTTTAGGATTTTGAATTGATTTTGTCACGTTAGACGTTACATAACTTTATTATCATTTTATAGCATTATAACGGTTGTGGGAGTGAGTGAAACTTAGAAATGGCATGAGCGTAAAATAAATTTAACAATACAAGTGATCAAGTTGCGAGGGCTGGTTTTCTTTAAAGTATTTTGGGAGATGACAAATTTTAAAAAGCTTAATCACAAACTTTTCAATCTTGTAAAAAAAGACTATCTCCTATTTTCTATAGAATTTCGTTTAACACCGTCATACGCATGTATAAAAAAAGTAACCGTGTAACTTTAGGGACGATCATTTAGTGCCTGAAGTCTTCAGACATTGACTCACTCCCTACAAAAAAATGAAAAAAAAAAATAAAACTTACATAGACCACATATTCAATGAAAGTTATTGATTAGAAGTACAGGGGCTTATAAAAGACGAAAAGAAGGAAAATAGGTGAGCACTAAATATATACGTATCGTCATCATAGTCTGCAATAAAATTGTTCTCAACAGACAGGAGGAGGTTTTCATTAAATACAAAAAATAAACTTAAACAACATAGCATGAGGGGTTTTATGATTTTGTGTGTGTGTGTGTGTTTTGTTTCAGAAAAATTGAAATGAGGTATCTATACACGACGTTTATGCTGAGGTTGGTGCTGCTGTTGTTGGAGAACTTGTTGTCGAATTGACATTTGAGTTATTTTTCGAATGTCGCAATTGCATTAGATAGTGTCGTTGTGTTGGTTTATGCAGAGCCAGCTGTGTCAGGGCATCATCGATGGAAAACCATTGACGTTTACGTCCAATGCTGCGTGAATCTTCCCATTCTTCCAGTTCTTTGGTAACGGTCATAACGAAAACCTCTGTACGATGCATGTGATCCTGATTCTGTAATAAAGAAAATGTTATAATTAAATAAGGAAAAATTATTTTATGATATTCTTTATATTCAAAAGAGTTGTGTTATATGTGTTCAACGTCGCGAGAGCATAATTGTTCTTTTGTTAGTTTTCATGGTATAAGTTCAATGGTAAAGTGTTAGAAATACAGACGAATAGCGCTGCATGTTAAGATACTCATCTTTAAAATGTGAAATTTCTCTTACAGTAATCGAATCTCCTACAACAAACTTCGAAGATCCCAAAAAGTAAATATATTTAGTTAATTTTTATGACATATGTCTATGTCCTATATCCAACGACTCCCTTTTCTTTTTACAGCTTGAACACAATGGACCAAGCAAGCGGTTGCAATCATCTGACATAATTATCTTAAACAAATGTAAAAACAAAAAGTATTTTATTTACCTCAAATACCCCTAAACATCTGCCCAATTTGCCCATAACACCGGCTTCCTCCAACACCTCTCTAACAGCCGTTACCGAAGGTTCTTCTTCGGGTTCTACGCCACCACCTGGCACAATCCAAAGTTCAGGGCGTCTAGAAGACGTAACAAGCAAAACCTAAAACAAATAAGCAAAATAAATTGTAGAATTCTATAGATTTACTTAAATAAAAAACATACCTCAGCTTCTGCTTCGGAACGGACACAAATACAGGCGGCACGTCTACGGAATCCATCCTTATCGTAGATACGTGTGGAATTTGGTTTTTCCTTTACCATCTGTAATACAAAAAGAGAAATTAAAGATTTATCGCAAAACAAAATAAACAATGAAATAACTATAATTATTCATAGCTATCAATTCTGCACCCTTTTTCTTATAAGGAACTGCTTATTCTTGATAAAAAATACAGTAGTTTTTACTCTTGTGATTTAAGGTACTTTCTGATATATTCACTACAATATTTTATGTAGTGTACTGATAAATATGTTGATAATATAAATTAGACGTATGTTCTTCATTTTTTTTTTTTTTTTCAATTGTTAATTTATGAATGGAAAAGCAGACACAATTTCATTTATGGCTCACTCCATTCACATCAATTTTCAAAACCGTATAATAAATCAAAAATGTACGATAGTAATTTCATTTAATTTTTAAATTTCAAGGGAAAGAAACTTAGGAGTGCGAAAGAGGTAGTGTCGTCAGCAATTTCGATTATGTGAATGTTATGACTGAACTTATTGCGGACTTTAACATAAAATCCGTTCATCACAGGGGCATTGCGGTGTTATGGCTTAGGAGAGAGCCAAAGAGGTAGCATGGTTTGGGTTATGATTGGTTTGAGTTAAGGATGGGCAGTACAGGGGAGTCGGCAACTGCATCACTCGAAGACCTTTGGTCCAATGTACTCATCCTAGGAAGAATAAAGTTGTTGGTGATAGTAGATATAGCGAAGGATGGGTTTATAGAGAGAAGTTTAGTTACCACAGTGGTCTGCTTAGCCAGGGAATATGTTTAACACACTTGAAGATGATGGTGGGATCTATGTCTGAGAAGAACGTTAGAGTTTATATTTCCCACCTGCCAAATAGCCTATGTATTTTTCTTGAGACATCTGCTTAGTAGGGTTTCAATTCTTTATCTTCACATAGTCTACAGTAGTCAGGAACACTGTTAATACAACTTGACGTCAGATATTTAATAGTGCAATTGTCAGTCAGTATTTTTTGCGATTTTTAGATCAGACCTACTAAGTGTTAGAAGGGAGATTCTTCTTCCTTCCAGAGATTACCGGCCAGATGACCTTAGATATCCTGCAACTGGTTTCCAGTGCCATTTTCTTAGATTAGAGATTTTTTGAAGTAGGTAACGTAACAGTTTTTTGGTGGTTTAACAGTCTCATCAACCAATAGATCTATCGACTGGGAACCTCCTCGAGTTAATTCAATAGCCACGGTCCTAGCCAAGGTGCTATATCCTGGAACCCAACAAAACTTAATGTAATCTCATATTTCAATGAAGGTTTTCCTGCATTCAAGAGTGGTTCTCGACTTTATATAAAGACATTTGATTTGATAGCTTTAAGGACCGCCTGATTGTCAGCATGTGTTGTAACTGGTCCTGTTATGATATTGTTTAGTTCTTTTACCTTCTTGATTGGAAGAATCTTTGCCAGAAAACGCAGCAATTGTTATCAAGCTCATATGAGAGTTTAATCACAGGATTAGGACAGAATAAGGCAGCATCGGTGCCTTCATCCATTTTGGAGCTGTCTAAATATGGCCAGGTCAGAAGAAGGTTGCTACCAGCACAGTCGTCCCTATCTGGTTGGACATGTTAACTTCAGCTAGTAATTCCTACTAATTGGTATGTTCAGGATTCGTTTATGACCCCCCGCGAAGTGTGGTATCTTCCAGTGACTGAAAGTTTAACACCACATTCAATGCAGATCGAAGAACGCTTTTGAGAACCCCGGTTGGCAATAAGGACACGGCTTTCTGCAATGTGGTTGATTTGGACACTGAATTCAATCGCCTAATTTATATTTTTGAAAATTTGTATGTTTTTGAATGCAATATTTTATATTTCTGAAAAATATAGCTAGCATTCCGACCCAAAATCCCAATAAAACTTTAATTTTCCTACTAGTATTTTTTATACATTTTAGACTTATATGTAAACCGGATAATGGAGAAATATGAAGATCAGAATGTCATTATGACTCCACAATCAATTAATTGAGCGTTTTCTCAAAAAACTATTTTGATTTTTTTTTTTATTTTTATATTTTTTTATATAAAAATAATGAAGAAATATATAAAATTGATATGGACGCAAGAGGAAAGAAAGTGTTTAAAATTTTGTTGGGATTATTTGTACTAGAAAAAAGTCGACAATTGTAGGCTTTAGATATTATATATTGAATAATTATTTGCTATAGGGTAAGTGTACCAGTAGTCGGCACTTTTAGGATTTTCGCGTTTTTAATCACTCTCCATTCTGAGTGGAACATTTCAATTATTACAAAGTTAATTTATTCAGATTCGAAATTTTGTATAGTTTTTGCAATAATAAATAAAGTTTTAATAACTTTCTATTAAATTTCATAAATTTGTAGTTTTATTAAATTAATGCTTTTTTGCCAGTAGTCGGCACCACTTGCCAATTGTCGGTATTGCATTTTCCAACAGTCGACATACCAATTTTTTTGTAAGAAAAATAAATAAAAAAATTAATTAATTAATTAAAATATAATATTTTTGTTTAGTTAAACTGATTCGACGTCTTTATTGTACTTTTCTTAAGAATATGAATTGTTGAGGACCTTCACAGACAAATATTTAATTTTTATTAGAATAATTCATTCTAATGTGAGCAAGAACAAAAATCTGTGACTACATCAAGTACCAACACTTTAACTAGGATTTTCCGCACGTCATCGAATCCAACAATTGGTAAAAGCAGGTTTATGCAGCTTTATTTCTTATCTGTTCAAACAAAACCACTCATACCACTTGTTCCTTATCATTCATTGCCAGCGAAGAAAGAAAGCAATCAAATCAGTATAGATATATGTATGCACAAGAATAAAAATTGTACGAGCATGGGAAATAAATAAAACTGATAAACACGAGTTAACAAAATGCCCCCAAGCATTTGACAGTAACATTGAGCATTAAGCACGTGTAAAGTCCATTGGAAAAGTGTGATTAAAATATGGCATGAATTATCGCATCCATATCTAGCCACAAGCATTAGAATGATATGGCATAATTTGGGTTTTTTTTAAGAAAAATATGCTGAAACATCAAATCAAGAAGAAATTTAACACGAATTTTATCGTTACATTGATATTTTTTTCTAATTTTCAGCTTAACCTGCAGTTCATTGAACATAGATTCTTACATATATAAAAAAACTCAGACGTATGAATATAGATCAGAATACAGGGAACTTAGCTTTGAGTAAGGAGAAGTGGATCCCAAACACTAACCTTGTCAGTCTGCTTAAGGGATATTTTATTATTGTGTATCACCATAAAAAGGCAAGTATTTTTAACGTCTGTTGAATCACCATATATTGTTTCTAGTATTATTGCTAGTATTTTAATTGGGATTTCAAGTTATTACGGCTATGTAGGTCAATACTTTAGTATGTCCTCCATATAACATTAATTTCTTATATTTCGTTTTTATATGTTTTATGTGTTTGAAGTTCTTAATGGTTACCTTCAGGATGAAATTTGTCAATATATATGTCCACATACAGTATAGCCCACATATACATATATGTGCCAATAATCATCAAAACACCTAATATCGATAGGTACCGTTATATGAGGTATATACCAAAACGACCTATATATACAATGAAAAATGAATTCGGTCCACCTTTTCTTTTATTTTTGGAAAAAATCAAAATCAGTGTAACCGTGTTAGCGTTTCGGATTATTAGCTACCAGAAAATGTCTTGCAAAAAGTTTGTAAAAGGTACATTTGGTCATATTTTGCAATTTTTTCCTCATGGAGAAGAGTATATGAAGATCGGCCATACTGTACTCTTCAGCACGCTGAAGAAGAAGATGAATCCTATTGGTACCACCCATTTATTAAAATCACTACTTTAGTCCAAATTCGCCTGCCTAATGATCTACGTACGTGGCATTAATCTAATTTGCTTTTGTTCGTTTATATAAGGGAATCGGGTGATGACTGGTATTCCATTTTGATCACATGTTTTTCAAGACTCTGGAGTTTTTACTATCCATATACAATCCCATATCAATTAGTTTTTGTAGAAAGTATTGAAGTATGTTTCTTTTCCTAAACAGACATGGTTATGTGTATAATTTTTAACAATTGTTTAACTTAGTTTTTGATCTTAGCACTTAGTTTGTAACTATGCTACTGTTCGAACATAATTAAGCAAATAAAATTCCAAGCAAACGAATAATTTTTAAATTCTCATAAGAATACCTCCTCATTATTCAAACTATATAGGTCAAAAAAAAATTAAAGAATAGTATCGCTTTTTGATCTAGATATGTTGCGCAATCGTTATGGGCATGTCCCATAGGATTACCAATTTAGCCCCGGACGGCTGTTGCATGTATATTAGTTTTTCGTTAAGGTTTTTGTAAAAAAGAATTAGATTTGGAATACTCTGGTATTACAAGGGCACTAGTTAAATAGATTGTTTCCTACAACATCAAATAGCATTAATATCAGTGAGATCAGTACAATTATAAACATCTTTAATATACTTACTTTGGTTGTTTTTTTTTTAAATAAACAATAGATGCGTTTTGTTTTAAGAACTTTAAGCGTTGTTCCTTATAACGGCGGGCTAAAGTTGGTTGCTTGTTTTTATTTAAGATTGAAGGCTTCTTCCTGACAAATTATCGACAAGTACTACTGTGGGTGTTGCTATCGGACAGCCTGCCCGCTATGTTGGTATGTGGTAGAGCGTTCTAAATTAAGATTAACAACTGTTTCTCTACAAGGAGATTAACTTCCCACGCATATGCTTGCAGCTTGTTGGATGATAGCTGGATTTATGATGACGAAATAAAATCAAGACGAATCAGGTTCGATGGCAATATTGAACAGCAACGAAAATCACACGGATAATGATGGAAAGAAATGTAGCAAAAATAAGTCAACTCTTTCGTTTGGGAAAGTATTAGTAGCTGCGGTCTAGAATGTGTCCAAAATGAAGGAAGGAAGTTTCACTGTCGTCTATGCCCAATTTATGGTGTAAAAATGTTGAATTTGTAGAATATATAATGTAGTAGGAGGACAAATTAAAATTCAAACAAAATTGGAAAAGTAAAAATAATAATATTGTTGTTATTGCTGGGCGCGCTTGGGAGGAAGAAGTTAGCTTTGCACGTAGAGCATTTTGGTTTTGTTTTTGTTGCTGTTTTATCGGCTGGGTGGCTAGACAGCTGCAAGAGTTACTGTGGGTCAAGCAGCGTAGATTGTTGCTGTTTTCTGGGCAGACAGTTGTTGAAATTCTGTCTGTCTGGTCTCTGCTGTTTTTCGCTTTATTTTTGTTAAATTCTTGTGTGTTGTTTTTTCTATTTTTTTTTTTTTTTTTTTGCAATATTTAACTTGTTTTGTTCTTACTTTGCCGTCTCCACCACAATCATTTACAATTTGACGTCTTTGCAGTTGTTGTATTTTTTGCAAAAAAAAAATTGCGCGACGACACAACGTCCTCTGGTGATGGGAAGAAGTGCGGAGAGTAGGTGCAAAACGACCACAAAGACGACGATGTGACGACCGACCGACCAACAATGGCAGAGGGGCGTCAGACGATGCAATGTTATTGACGGGAGAACGGGCGCCGACCGACACCTCACAAAGACGAGACTTTTTCTCTGGTATATGTGTACCACAAAAGAAACAAAGATGGTGGTTCTTCTTTTCTTTTGCCTCCGAAGCAGAAACAGCTGTTTTATAACAAATAACTCAAACGCCACATTTTCAAAGAAGTAGGTGATGGATTCGTTCGTAGAGGTCTTCCCTTTCTTGAACCCTTAAAAAATTCAAAAGTGCTAAAATTCTGGAATTTGTGAATGTTTAGGGCTACTGCGTTATTGTCACGTATCTAATCACCGTGGGTTGTAACCGTTTTTTTCGCCAGCGAACCACTTTTCATTTGCATAATTAGTCGAACTATGCCACACTTTTGGGTTGGATCCTTTTTATTTGTGGTCGTCGCAGAGGTTCGTTTCCACGTTGTTGACACTAGAATTGTTTGTTATCACGTTGCAATATCCCTCAGTTTGTCGTAATGTTTGTTATAAGTCAATAATTTAGTGCAGCTCGCGACTTTCACTATTTTCGTGGAATATTTTTCTTTATCGCGGAACACAAAATAAAAATAAATTAATTTCTTAATTGCTCAGCTCACCGGCTGAAAAATAGGGCTATACAAGTCGACTTTCTATAGAGTCGATAAATTTGAACGAATGCGTGAATTGAAGGAATCAGCCAAGAAAAATGAGATAATGGAAGATTCCGCAAAGAACAAGAAGCCGGTAATCGGTAGAACTTTAAATAATTGTTCTGTTTCAGAAGTTGGAAAATGCTAATAGCGCGTTTATACTATTGAAGATTAATCCAAGTGATAATAGATATAGGCTTGTTCTATCAGAACTTCTCTTTTCTTTATATCCAGTGAGGATAAAGTTCACATTATCGGAATTTCATCATTATTTCATTATTCCGATAAATTACATATCTTTGTTTTTATATATACTTTTCGGTAGATTTGGCTTCATGGTAGTTGGTAGTTACTTCATTTTTTCACAATGGCGTCTTCATTTAAGTTTAAAAATAATAAAGAAAACGAAATTGTAATTAATTTCGTGAAATAAGTCTATAATTGTTCAATATAAAATAAACGATTTACTTTGTCCATTTTTTTAGTTGAATAAACTTTGCTGTTCTTGCCATATTATCAATATAAATATGGCAACATGAATTCAGTAAACTTTATGTTAACAGGTAAAGGGAAGATGGTCTGAACTTTTGCTTATCGGACAGTTCATACTTAAATAAAATTTGTAATAACGAAAAACGATTTGTGTCCGAAATCACTTTTTTATCTATCGGAAAGATGTAAAAATTGGCCTATGCAGAGATTTATAGAACCAGCGTTTATAATTCTACAGTCAAATTTACAATAGTAACGAAAATGTTCAGCCTTGCCAACAAATGGAAACACACATGGTATAATTATTACGATAACAGCAAGTCCCAGCTGATTTGACTCTATAGTAATACTAGTGCCAAACTCGATATGACGTTTTGTGATATATTTCCATTTCTTGAAATACAATAGGTATACCCTTTTTTGATATAAAATTTCAACATATTTTATGCATAATAATAGAAAAAATCGCCGTTGTACATAATAAAACGCCAAAAGCGATGGTTCGGATACTTTTTTTGCGGTTAAGGAACAGCGCATGGTAGAAGAATATAGGTAGATGCATCAACGCTTGCGAACACTGATATGTCAAAATTTTAAAATTGTTTTATCAAAAATAAGTAGATTTTTATATGTTTTCTTATATGATGGAAATCGGAGGTTGATACAATATGAATTTCTCAACAACTTTTACAAATTTTAATAATTTTTCATTGAACATTTTCAACTTCAAAATCGGGTTGACAGTTCATTGTCCCAGCAGCTGTGTCGAAGCGTCTACCTGTATTCTTCTGCCATGGAACAGCTATACCACGTTAGATAATATATTCGAATATTTCATGTTTCCTAAAATTGCAAAATGTAGATTACTTTATGTATGTATGCTGTTTGATTTCAACTTGAAAGTGATGTTGCCTTTTCCGCGATTTTTTAGCGATTGCTTTAAGTGTTGAGAGTTTAGGACCAACAGTTAAGAACTATACATTCTGGGGAATGATGTGAAAGCATTAAAATTAAATATTTTAAGAACTATTCCTCTGCATTTTTAATCTAATAATCCAAATTCCAAAAATGTATATTTTTGAAATTAAAATAATTTATTGAAAATTAATATTTTGTTTACATTTTTGGACACATAACTCCGACACTTGTATTACGTACAAAAAAAAATTGTATTTGGTTGTTGTTACGATTGTTGTACAACAACACTTGCTGTTACCTGTATTCTTCTACCATGGGAAACCCATTACAAAAAAAAAAAAAAAAACATTAAGTTCGACGGGCCATAGTAAAATTAAGAAGGTAAAGTTATTTCAAATAAGCATTCCCAATTCTGCATTTTCTGTAATTTACTTCGTCAAATTAATGGCACAGAAAATAGGTTCCCATCTCTTATCATTATAAACATATGATTGCATGACTTTACCTTCTTAATTCTACCATGCGCCGTGCAGAACTTTTAATACCCTCCACCTTAGGGTAAAGAAAACATTAGAACCCATTATGACCCACAAATGCCAATTTTTAGACAAATTCGTGGGAAAATATGTCAAAAATCATCAAAATACCGAATATCGGGAGGTACCGTTATATGGGGCTAAACAAAAAATAGAACATTGTATGTTTCGTCATTGGAACTAGAACCCATTATGACCCACAAATTCCAATTTTTAGACAAATCCGTATAAAAATGTGGCAAAAATCATCAAAATACCGAATATCGGAAGGTACAGTTATATCAAAACGTGGACTGATATATCTCATTTTCAATACCAACCATCCCAGACACAATACAAATTGTTCTGCCTAACGTCAAATAATGTGGGTTGTATCGTGATTTCAACAGACGGACATTGTAAAATCGACTTAGAATTTTATGCTGAATATTTTGTTTCTTATTGAGACATAGTTGTTTCTTATTGAGCCATTATCATTCCGATGCATTATCATGATCAAATAAAATTTTAAGTTTTTTATAACATACAATATACAACACTATGTTTTAGTGGTATTATAAGTTTGATTGTGCCAAAAATTATGTAATATCTCAAAATATTTGTCCCGACATAAGAAACTATATATAGATGTTCCTGTGTCGCCGAGCTGAGCTATGTATATCCGTCCGTCCGTAGGTCGCAATTATGGCCTGATCTTTGCGAAGTTGAATATGGAGTTGGGGTTTGGGTCAGAATAGAAGCCTGTTGTTTTTGGAGACGATCGCAAAATATTTAGGGGTTAATTAAACCAATAACAGAAAAATTTCCTGATTTTGCTGTTGCTCTACAGGCTACATGCAAATTTTGCATGGAATCAGAGTTTCGGGCTGGGCAGAAGCAAAAAATACGAAAATATCTACTAAACCTCGAATATCGCAGCCAAATCCCAAAGACATTAAAAGGTCACTTCTGGTCATTACAGTGATGCTGATAGCCAAGATATTGGATATACAACGAATTAGGTATAATTTATACCTAGAAGAAAAATGTCTTAGTTATTCTGCTTATAAGTCAAGAAACGCTGGGCTGATTTCCACAATTCTCATCAATTCGGAATGGTCTCTGGGCTGAAAAGAATAAAATCTAAGAAAATCACGTAAAAATATCATAATAAAAACGTGAATATTTTTTGTTACATATTTTCAATTTTTGTCATAAATTTTCGCATGTGATTTTTTCAATTTAACTTACAATTTTGAATTGTACATTTTCCAAAGTTTAATTATCGTCCGATCCTCATGGTCAGAAATAATGCATATCGTTTTTGAAGATGTACATTTATGGACCGAAAAAATTTAAATTTTCCTGATGCAGTCGCTCTACAGGTCACAACTGAAAACCAATGTAAACGGAATTTTGCATGGGAAGGGAGGTAAGGACAGGGAAGATGTCCAGCATTTTGGATGACCACTGTAAAATGGGCCACAACTTTCGTATGAAATTGTTTTGAATACCTAACAACACGACGGGTTGCATAAATATTGGGCAAATGATCGCCGTCACAAAGCTAAGGGTAACATCTGGGCAGGGCTCTATGACATTATTTCAAAAACGAAATCTTCCACAATGGATTTGGACAATAAATGGTCTGTTCCAGAACTGCAAGAATGGAAATGTTTTTACTGCGATAACCGATTTTCCCTTCATGATATCGAAGAAAACTGCAAAACTGGTAGACTCTTGCTGGTACTGGAACAGAGCAAAAGGGACTTCCAACATATTGTAGTGTTGCAGGGTATCACATGGCCCCGCACGACTATAGATTTTGCTATTGTTTGAATGCAATGTGTAAAAACGCCTTAGTAGAAACATTTGACACTCTTGAGTGTACCGCAGCTATATTGCTCTACCCAGTTCCGTTAGTATGTAGAGAAAGAAGATATATTTTTGTATGGCAAATCTAGTTGAATAAATCTAGGTTATCTAAACGTGCTATAAGAAAAATTATCTTTTAAGCGCCACCTACATATTAAAGTATTTGTAAATCTATTATAAGCAAAGACATATAATATAATAAGACGGGACATTAAATTGTTACAATTGAGAAATAGATGTCGTTGGTGTATAACATTATGTTATGTCACGATATCGTGACATAACATAATGTTATTACTTGAGTGAAATTAATTGTTTGCACAATGCAATGGAATTTTGAGAAGAAAACTTTTGGAGAGACAAGTAAATGGCGTGTTCACTCACAATTAACATAAATAGTTTTTTGAAAATACATTTTAATAAGCGTACGAAAATAAACTTTTGCAAACGTTTGCAATAGAAATCTTTGATTCACGGTAGCCGTTGCGGGTCATACTCAGAGGAGAAAATCTCAAGCCTCGGCCAAAGGCCGGCTACTTACAAAAATTATGAATACATTGTAAGAAGCCGGGCTTCGGCCGTTGCTTGAGATTTTCTCCTCGCACCGGCTAACGCAAACCCAAGTTTACTACATTTAACAGCACAGCAAACAGTCATACTCCCCACTTTAATATGGGGTTTATGACCAATAATTCCTGTAATTGCATTGGGGTTATAACCGTGGGGATAATGTTCGGGCGCCGGCTTTGGATATTTCATATTAAATAAAAGTGTAAACGGGGTGGCGGAAATATCAACCTAATTCGCCAAAGATGGCACAAAACTCGAAATATAGTTTCTAGACCCACGATTTTACATATGGATCTACCTATCTCGCCCAGTTGGTCGATTTAGCTATGTGTGTCCGTCTGTCCATTTTAATTTGTAATCACGCTACAGGTCACAATTATGACGCAAACCTTACGAAATTTTTCGTTGAGTCACGGTTAGGGTCAGATTAAAAACCTTTAAGGCTTGAAATGGACCAACAAGAAATTTTTTGATTTTGTAGTCTCCCAGGCCATAATTGGGGCCTAATATTGCTTGGGGTTAGAGTTTAGAACAGCGAAGAAGCGTACCTGTTTTGATCGACGCAGTACAGCGGATGAAAGGGACTATACCTTTTGCGAGAAATATCCATTCTGACACTGGTCTATTG